TATATATATATATATATATATATATATATATATATATATATATATATATATATATATATATATATATATATATATATATATATATATATATATATATATATATATATATATATATATATATATATATATATATATATATATATATATATATATATATATATATATATATATATATATATATATATATATATATATATATATATATATATATATATATATATATATATATATATATATATATATATATATATATATATATATATACATTTATTTATTTATTTATTTATTTATATAACCGCAATATGCTGTTTCTCATTGGCAATTAAATAAAATACAGGGAATAAACTTGTGTTTCAATTCACAATTAGAACAGCTGTTCACTTTGACTTTATCCTGTATAAATTCTGTTTAGATCATGGTGTTATCTGTTCTGACATACTGTGTTAAAGCATTTGTAAATTTGACTGTAAAATTACATTGTTTTGTTCTTGGTTGAGCTTGTGTTTAAAAGAAGTTCAAGCATTTTAAATTTGTGTTAACTGGATGCATTTTGTGTCAAAACAACAAGAAATGTGTTAATTGTATAGCCCACGAAGACGGATGTTGTGCTAACTGTGTTAAGAGTTTAGGAAACTTGTTAAATGTATTGATAAAAGTGTCATAGCCATTGTAAAAAACTGTAATAAAGGGACTAAGCCGACAAGAAAATGAATGAATGAGTGCAAAAATCACTGTTTACATTTTTTTCAGCCATATCATACACATACACACACACACACACACACACACACAGACACACACACACACACACACACACACACACACACACACACAATGAATACACGTTTAAACACATATGTTTGTGTGTTTTTGTTTCTCTGCTGAAGCACCGCAGTAAAAATTCTCTTAGGGTCTCCTTTTGACCAGCAGCAACTCTGGTTAGTGGGTTCCCACTTAGGAAGAGGTCAAATTTCATTTTTACTGTTGATCATCAGTTGGCACCATTAAATCCTTTACATTGCCCCGTGCAAAAGCGTGTCTGACTTTTATATGGAGTTCTGTGGAGTAAAACTGCAATTTATAGAGTACATGCATAAGTACACTTACTATGTTTACTATGTTCTGACAGCTGAGGTGCCTATTTTGTATTTTCTCCTACACATCAATATCTGTGTGTTAAAGTCTCTCTTACAACCTCACACACTCACTAAACACCAAATAAAAGCAAGAAATCAAGCTTTTTTGCACTGTAACTGATGATCACCAGCAAAAATCACAAATCTTACCTCTTCCCAACAGGAAAAACCACCAACAATCAAGAATGCATGATTATACGCTGTCATGACGTTGCATTTAAAAATAATGGAAATCACTTGGGCAAAAACAGCCATGAACACAATGAAAGGGTGGTAAATTTGCTCAGAGTGTATTGTTGAGTTTTTAAAAAATTCAAAAAGTATTTTCCCAAAATATGTGTCAACAAGACTTGTCACCAAAAATCATCCCATTTGCTGAACCACAGAGAAAGTTGTTGGTAAATTAAGCCTCAAAATCAGCCCAGAGTGGACCAAAACTTCACCAACAGCACAGAAGGGTTAAACACCCCCAAATCCTTGATGGGATGGTTCTAAGAGGCAGTGCTCACTTCTGGACAGAGGGGCAAGTGTACCAAGTAGCAAGTGGAGATGTTTTGAACCTTCAGCTGACAGCCAGTGTAAGTGGAGAGGTAAAGGCTGATTTATACTTCTGCGTCAAACGCCGGCGTATGCTACGGCGCTCACGCATAGCCCTTGGCGTGGCCATGGCCGTCGGCGTCGCTTCAAAAATTGTAGAGCGCAAGCTCTGTGATTGGTCGGCTTGGTAGCGCTGACGAGTCTGGGCGGGACCGAGAGCCGCGCGAATGGCGCGAGCGATTGTCTACAAGTGTGGAGTCCCGTGAAGGAGCTTCGGATGGAAAGTTTTGTTTTGTGTTTACCTCATAGTTAAAGTTGTTGCACGTCCGCCGGTTCCTGCCTCAAAATGAGCGAGTTTGAGCCACTTGTACATCCCGGAAGTGTTTAGGAAAAGCATAAAAGTAGCGAAGAAACTCAACACAGAGGAACATTTACACCTCACTGCCAACTAGCGTTTCGGAAGTGTTAATGCAGACCAACAGAGACAGCGCGCAGAAGTATAAATCAGGCTTAAGAGAGGTGTGACGTGGGCTCTATTGGGATCATTGAAGACCAGATGAGCTGCAACATTTTGTTTGGCCAGGATTGATTAGATGAGCATGTCATCGGTGTAAACCAGAGATGCCCAAACTAGAGCCCGTGGGCCAAAGTGGATCCACGGTAACCTTTGATTTGGCCCTCCATCCCATCTGAGAAGAGAGGGAGAATGATGGGGAGTTTTGGGGGAAAGTCTTTAACAGAGATTGTCATTTCTAATACAACATAACTTTATTTTTTAACTGTTGAGATACAAAAATAAACAAACTGAAATTAAACGTTTCAATGAAATGTTGTGAATGAATCAAATAAAATAATAGTCACTTGAAGGAGAGCAGACATTACAGAAGACATCAGCAAGCGAAGGCAAAGTGTATTTTTAGTGTTATAAATGGGATTGTTCATGTTTTATTGTAAGACTTTCATTCATTATAAAATGTATAATTATTAATACAATTAAAGAATTTGAAATGTTGTAAATTACAGTATTCAGTGAATCATGTAAATTATATAATGATTAATAATAATAAACTAGGAAATTACATTGACAATTTTACAGTTTGGTAGATTTACCTCCAGCCCACCACCCTCAGACGAGTTTAGTTTTTGGCCTTTCATAAGAAAAAGTTTCCCTGAAGCACCTCTGAAATAAACTTTAACTAAAAGTTTTAGATTCTGAGCAGGACAGCACACTGGTTCTCCCGCAGCATGTTTGTTCATCATTTCTATCTTAATGTGTTGATCATTTTCTTTTGTGTTTCTGTATTGTGTGAAGGTCAACCAGTCCATGGTTTATGCTGCTAAAATCTTTATTCAGTTTTATTCATAAACTATGTACAATATATACACTGTGCTCACGTCGGCTCCAGGTCTCTTGGGTGAAGGTCTCTCAGTGACGTGGTCTCTTCTGGTCGTTGTGCGTCTCTGGTGGAGATGGGGAGCGGGAACGTTTCCCTCCAGCGTCCTGGACTGAAGATGCTGCACCAGCTGAGGAAGAGGAGGGCAGCGGCTTGGTCTGGCAGGGAGAAGGACGGCGGCCTCTTTTTCTTCTCAGCAGCATAGGCCTCACTGAACAGATCGAGCGCAAACACACACAAGCAGACATAATGTGAGATTTTCACAAACACAAAAACATGCTGCAATGCCAAGTACAGTTTACTCACGCGTCTATGATGGGAATGACGTATTTGCCGCTGCCGTCCATCATGACTCCCTTTCGGTTTGGGTCGTCCACCTCCAACAGGAAGCTGCGGGGAATCCCTGTGCTCCTCCTGATGCGCTTATGCGAAGCAGAGCTGCTACCCTGTGAATTCATGAGTGACAGTCAAACGACAGAGCAAACAATCTGACTGATGGAGACAAGAGCTCATGTTCACAGCAACCATAAGCTTAGAAAACCCAGTTACCCCTTTAGAGGGGCAGTGCCTAATGTGGTGTCCTGGGATCCCACAGTGAAAGCAGACATAGTTGGGTGGAAGAAGCCCAAGCAGTGTCATGGACTCACTGATGAACATCAGAACCATGAGAATCAGCTCTAACATTTCTCACAAACCAAACCTGTCAGTGTCTGAACGCTCACCTGCTGGAGTAGTAGCACAGACTGGACTGGTACATCACCGCTTTTAGCTTGTCCTCCTCTGATGCCTTTGCCTCAGCCAGATTCTCAGTCTGTTTCACAGGCATTTGCACATTAGAATTTTATTTCACTGATTTGCTCAAGAGCTCAGATAAACACCCTCAAATCTCCCTAAAAAGCTCTGTGTGTGTGTGTGTGTGTGTGTGTGTGTGTGTGTGTGTGTGTGCATGTGTTTGTGTGTGTGTGTGTGTGTGTGGGTGTTTTACACTGTGTATTGATATTCTGCACTACATGTCATTATGACGCCTCAAATGCAAACACTGCAGTTCAATACAGAGCAGCACAGTGGGGTGAATTAATCATTTGTTCAATACCTTCAACAGCTGCTCCAGTGAGAGGAGTGAAGAATCACCTGTTTGAGAAGATTTGGCTGATAATCCAGCTTGATGTCTGCAAAACAAAGGAGCTTGTGTGACTAAAACACCACAGACAGACTCAAACTCTTGATATAACATCTATCAGAGGATGATTGCGCTCATTTCACATGACTTACCCAACAAATCTTCTGTTTGATGACTTCAGTCCAGCTGCAGGGACCCGTCTGATGATGACCGACGTGTTTTTGGGGATGAGAGCATCATCATCTGTGTATTCTGACAGCAAAATAAAGTTTGAATATAGTAATAATCATTTACCATGGTATACTTTGAGTGCCATTAGCATTTTAAAACACTCAGAACATCACTATATGTCACCATCAGAGTCAGAATAATAAATCACAGCTTCTACAAGTCTGTCTAATAACACATCTAATGTTAGTGTAGTATAGTTTAAGTGGCTTTTCCTCATCTCACCTTCATCAGTTTGGGCTTTGCTGATCTTTAGCTGGCAGAACTTCAGCCTCTCGCGCCTCATGATCTGCCGCTTCAGCTCTCCCACAGTGATGTTGAGGCCCTCAAACTGGAGCGAGTCGTAGGTGAGTCGACTCTGAAACCTGTAATGAACACAAGACATACTGAACACAAAACACAGTGTGATAACAAGGGTCAAACCTGAATGAAGGGAGCAGCAGGCGATCAATCGATGTATCCAACAATCAATAATATCAATAATCTGGGAATCAGTTGCCACGAAGGACGCCGAGATCAGATGCCAATGACAGAGCGAAGTTCAAAACAACACAAAGAGAACCGTTGCCATGGATGCTGACGATCACGTGAAGAGTCGCTGAAAACTTCCGCGTTATATTCTCATAAATAATATTGAAATCATTACTATGATAACAATTAAATAAACTGCAGAAGTTAGACATCTCTGAATAATACACAGCTGCGTTTCCTTACACGAATGATTCTGGCCTTTGTAAAGAATCGAGCGAGTCAATGAATCAGTGATTCGTGGCTGTATGAATCACTCAAAGCTTCACTCGAATAAAGCGGTCTCTTGCTGCCACCTATTGGCGATTTGTTTTTTCGTTTTTAAAGTAATTTAACACTTTTTTTTAAAGGCACCTTCAAATTTATTTTCTACAAGTTTATATCCGTGTGTTAAAAATGATTTAAAACTCTCTAATCTCATAATTTCCTGATGCGTTTATAATGTAAATCCATTCATGTTTGCCTTAGATCTTCATTATGTGTTAAAATCAATAAAATATTAAAGTTGCCTCATCCAAATCCAAAGTTAATTAAAAGCTTTATTATACAGCAATGTGTGTGTGTGTGTGTGTGTGTGTGTGTGTGTGTGTGTGTGTGTGTGTGTGTGTGTGTGTGTGTGTGTGTGTGTGTGTGTGTGTGTGTGTGTGTGTGTGTGTGTGTGTGTGATTGTGGCAGTGGATTAAAGTGAATGTAGAAGTGATTAGAAGTGTGTGATATTTATTGTCTCTGATAATCAAAAGAACATTTTAAGAGTCCAAAAGATTTACTGCCTGATTAAGCCTGTTATAATGCAATTATGATGACCCTATAAATCTAGAATGGTCAGAACAATGAAAAATTAGGGAAAGAGATTCATTAGTATTTCTCCTCTTTTTTTTGTATGTGTAAGTGCTCCTGGAAGAAAAGTCTGCGTCTCTCTGTGTCACTCAGGCTGCACTGCAGTGTCTATTCTCAGGTGTGATCCCACTACTGATCAGCACGGGGGATTTGACCTGCTCCGTCTCCGACCTGGGCCGGTTCACCCCTCATTACACAACCTGGTGGTCCCAAGCTCCCCCAGGAGCACCATATCGATACCGAACTTAGTGTGGACACCTGATCAACATAGTCCACTGCAGTCCAGAAGCCCTGAGCTCAAGCGATTCGCAGCCTCAGCCTCCCAGTAGCTTGGATTACAGGCGCGCGCCACTAAACCCGGCAAGAGCTGAGAGAATCAGAGCTGTGGAGAATCTGATCATCACAGCGACCTCAAGTGGAGGAAATGATGAATGATGAAGTTATGTTGACTTTTTATTGGTCTTATGGCACTGTTTGGATAAAAATAAACAGCAGTACGGTCCCAAATAAAATATAGTTATTTAAACTAAATACTTTAGTATTTTAGAACCACATAGTAAAGTTTATTGTACTGAATAGTATAATCACAATGTTGTGCTATTTAAAGGCAACTGTGGTGCAGAGTCGGGTTGGAAGAAACTTCAAGCATTTCTGTTTTCGTGAGGTTAAGCTGAAGATGATGATCTTTCATCCAGTGTGAAATGTCCGACAGGCAGGCTGAGATGCGAGCTGGAACCGAGGGATCATCAGGGTGAAAAGAGAGGTATAGTTGGGTATCATCAGCATAGCAGTGGTAGGAGAATCCATGTTTCTGAATGACTGGTCCTAGAGATGTCGTGTAGATGGAGAAGAGAAGTGGCCCAAGAACAGAGCCTTGAGGTACCCCAGTGTTTAGATGCTGTAGGTTGGACACCTTTCCCCTCCAAGACACCCTGAATGATCTGTCAGAGAGGTAAGATCTGAACCATTGAATAACAGTGCCTGCAACGCCCAGTGACTCATATATATTATATATATAATGATTAATACATATAGAAACAATATTTTCATAACTAAATTATTTATGATTTGCCGTTTAACAGCAAAACATCTCGTCAAATAGGCCACAGTTCATCAGGAAATGAAAATCTTTTAAATGACAACAGAAAAGCAGTTCAGCGACTAACATTCACTCATTCAGTGAGTATCTCATTTATTCATTCATTCACTAATTGAATCAACACTTTTTCAATCACTTAATATGGTGTCAGATGCAGATGTGGCCTCTAGTGTAATCCACAGTTCATATATTGCACAATGACGCTAAAGGCCACCATATTATAAAATACTGCAGGTTGTTGGTTGCAGATTAATAATCACAAACATAATTTTTTAATCATAAAACAGCTAAAAACATATTTAGTGTCAGAGAGGACAAAGTGGTTTCAGTTTACCTTTTATCTTTAATATTAAACAGCTTTTTAGTCTTTAGATCAGATTAAATAACTTGTGGTACTTGTATAAACAATGTTCAGCTCAGGATCAGTAATTCAGCATGATGTGCTGCTAAAGCTGAAACAGTCTATCAATTTATGCCACAGATTGTGTGAGATTCTGTCGAGTCTTATAGATGTTAAAAACACTGATGGAGGTCAAAACCGCATCTGACACCACAGTTAGTAGATGAGTAAGAGTAAACTGAATAATAAATATGTAACTCAGTTAATGATATTATTCACTGCATGAATGAATGTTAGATGAGGAACTGGTATTTAAGTGGAAAATTAAAACATTACAGCTTTACTTTTTCAGAGGTTCACTGTTTGCACAATCTTAAATGGATAGTTCACCGCATAAATATGATTGTGCCGATTATGAATTAACATTTTTGGGTCAATTATCCCTTAGCTCACATAAATTATCCCAGAGCATTATTTCAGCATCAATGATCATTCACAATAGTCACATCACAAGAAATACAAGGTTGAGTCTGGATTATAATTTAGCATTTGCGTGTGTTTCTGAGGCCTGCGACTGTAAAAGCTTTAGGTCTAATAAATTGCATAATTTGTCATTTTAATTGCAAATCATTTTATTTAATTAAAAAAAATGAAGACAATAGCAGTATTATTTTACATTTGATTATTACATTACTGTACCTGAATACTGTTAGACTCGTTAAAAAACAACAAAGCTCTGTTCATTTTATTTCAACATTTTATATTGTATTTATCTCTGCTCGTAGATTGTTTGTAATGTTTTATGCAGATGCACACCTAATATAAACAAATAACCCATTCTGTAATATGTTTTTTACAGCTATATGTATTATGATACAATAAACCACTTTTACTGTAGTAAAAAAACTAAAGTATACTACAATATTTAATACATTTTATTAGTTGATACAGAAAACAGAATGTTGTGGCACTCATAAAATGAGTTGTAAAGGCTAATAAATATGGTATAATAATCTTTAGTTCAAAAATACTATGTTGATACTAATTACTGTAATTTTTTTATTTGTGATCATACTGCTATTTATTATTAACTAATGTCATAAGGCTATGAAGACAGTTTTTATTCATCATTCAGTTTTCCTCCACTAGAGGTCGCTGTGAGGATCAGTTTCTCCACAGCTCTGATTCTCTCAGCTCTCGCCGGGTTCAGTGGCGCGCGCCTGTAATCCAAGCAACAGGGAGGCTGAGGCTGCGGATCGCTTGAGCTCAGGGCTTCTGGGCTGCAGTGGACTATGTTGATCGGGTGTCTGCGCTAAGTTCGGTATCGATATGGTTCTCCTGGGGGAGCTCGGGACCACCAGGTCGTTTAAGGAGGGGTGAACCGGCCCAGGTCGGAGACGGAGCAGGTCAAATCCCCCGTGCTGATCAGTAGTGGGATCGCGCCTGTGAATAGACACTGCAGTGCAGCCTGAGCGACACAGAGAGACGCAGACTTTTACACTAGTTGTTTTTACTCTGATATATCTTTCTAACAGTAAAAAAAGAAGCAATAAAGGTTTTGAGATGAATGACATGGCTGTGTGTTAATAATTAGAAATAACTAAAAGTTTAGTTTTTTCGAGTGATGGGTTGCAGCTGGAAGGGCATCTGCTAAAAACGTGCTGGATAAGTTGGGGGTTCATTCCGCTGTGGTGAACCAACGGGACTAAGCTGAAAAGAAAATGAATAAAAGTTTATTTGTAGACTAGACATTTTATTTGTAAACAGAAATACACAAATTATCTCAATTTCATGAGTGTATTTTGAAAAGATGATGTTTTAGACAGAAATATGTTTTGCTGTGGTTACTAACTCATAAGTGTGGTCTATCAATATCGGGTGGTATTTAAAACAATTATAGAAGAATTTCACTTTAGTTCTCTCCGTGTTGGTGTGGGTTTTCACTGGTTGGTCTGGTTTACCCCACAAGTCCAAAGACATGCGGTATAGGTGAATTGGGTAAGCTAAATTGTCTGTAGTGTATGGGTGTTTTCCAGTAATGGGTTGCAACATGGGAGGGCATCCTCTGCGTAAAACTTATGCTGGCTAAGTTGGCGGTTCATTCCGCTGTGGTGACACCCGATTAATAAAGGGACTAAGCCGAAATGAAAATGAATGACTGAATGAATTTCACTTTAAACATAATTTACACATTGTTACTTTGAACCCATCATCTGATATTTGGCAGCTCCATCAAGGGTTCTGCATTGTGTTTTCTTTTTATTGTGGGAATAACCAGACAGGTATCAGCAGTTGTGACGGCTCTTTAATCACTCCTGATGTAAACAAAAGCACAGATTTTACAGTGTGTCTTCGCCCTCATCACTTTTACATGCTTCAATCAGACAAATATAAATCAAAACCTCAATTAAAATGAAAACACAAAAATAACGAACTATGTGAAATATGTGAAAAAGAAAGTTATACACAATATTGAAACATAAAAACTGGCTTCAAAAGTCAAGTAAATATGATTTAAGATTAATTAGAGCTGCAGACACCCACCTCTCCCATGTGCAGTCAGTACAGAAAAGGAGGAGGCGGGTGCAGAACAGGAAATTAAAAAACTTAAGCTTTCTCAGAAATTTAAAGGAGCAGGTATACTTAATAAACACTTCAGGTAAAACACACATTTTGTGTAATTCTATAAATAAAGTGAACTATTATTTCTATATCTGTTACACAGGCCTGGTTTGGCTAATCGGGAGCACCGGGAAAGTTTTTTGGCCGCGAGGGCCGGTGTCCCTAGCTGCTTGCACTCTCAGCAGTCGCACTTTTTTCATTTATTTATTTGACCATAGCCTCACTCTTTTTATTTATTTTCTCGCAGGCAATCCGATGATTCACTACATTACAGTTTTTCTCGATTACTTGGATGTAGTTGTCAACTGAAACTCCACATTTTCAAAACAGTAGACACACAGGCCTAAACAGCGGCACTCATGGTCAAAATGACACATTTTGCTTGCAAAAGGCACATATCGTGTCAAAACATTTAACATATGCAACAAAAGCTAGTTTTACCTTCAAACTACACAACTTGCAAACAAGTATATGAGCTCTTTCAATTAATCATTACACAATAGACAACAAAATACAAAATACAGAACTCAAAATGCACCACCATTGCTTGCCATTGTAGCTTATAGCCAA